GGTCTAAGATTTTAGGGTCTTAAGGTTTATGGGTCTAAGGGTTCTGGGGTCTAGGGTTTTTGGGGTTCTAAGTTTTTTTTGGTCTTTAAGCACTTGTTTGTACAATTTTTGCAAATTTTCAAGGTAAAGATAGAAGGGTGGTTAAAGACCAGGCGTAGCTAACTTATTCTAGCACTGTTAGACAGTCTGATTTATTTGTCCATGAGCTGGTTACAATTTTACAACTTTTTTTTGATAGTTTGTTTCTAAAAATTCAGTTCTTACATTTTTTTTTTACATCATCTGTCCATCAATGGCTTTATGGCCACAGGTACTAAGGGGTTTTGTGTCCTAAGTCTTTATGTCTAATGTTTTGATTGGGTCACTGATTTGAGGCATACCTCTTATTTCATATTTCACATATACATGGTGTTAAGCCTAAGCCTTTTCAAAAGGGAGATTAAACATGATTCATACAAGTAACTGTAGAATGTGCCCCACTGCTTAGGTTTAGCTTTGAAAACTAAATAAGCAGAATTAATGATAGGTACTACTGCCAACATTGTGCTGCCAGAGCTTTAAGTTTTGCAATCTTAGAGTTTTGGACTAAAGATTTTCCTTGCTGGGTCTGGCCTGGGCTGGGATTTCTCCATCTAGCAAATATTTTTTGGTGGGTTGGCCTTCAGAATCTTAGGCTTCATATCTCTTCCTTTTCTTAATATTAGGTATTTCAGGTTTACCAGGGGTTAGGGTTTGGGCTTTCTTCACTTCAAATCTCTTAAGATTACTTGTTCTAAACCTCTAGTTCTAAGGATTTCTGGTGCTTAGGTTTTCCAGAAATCTGGCCTCTGGTGTCTTAGGCTCCTGAGTCTCAGATTTCCTTGTCTATGGGTAGCAGTTTTACTCTTCCATACCTTATTTATGTAATATTTAACACATTTTATCTCACAGGTAAGTGGGTCTCAAGTATTTCTAGTATGAGGTACTCCGATCCTAGGCATATGGGTCTCTGATTTCCAGGCCATAGGTATTTAACTTTATTTTGGGCTTAGTAGTTCTAAGTTATGGATATGAGGTTTAGGGGTCTTAGATTTTGTTAGTTCTTGATTTCTGAGTCTCAGATTTGTGGTTGGTGGTTCCTCTGAGCAGCAGGTGAAGGGGTCTTTAGTTTTCTTGATCTTATGTTCCCAGATCTCAGAGTTTTTAGGTCCTTGGTATATTTCCTAGTCTTGGGTCTTGGGTTTAGAAGTCTTTGGTTTAGAGGTCCCAGGTTTATTGAATCTTTAGTTTCCAGGTCCCTCATTTCTTTTTCTGGGTCTT